TACAAATAGCTTAAAATAACTTACAATAACAATAGTTAAAAATAACTATATATAAATGATTATATTGTTACCTTTAAAATCAAAAAACAATATTTGATGTTTTAAATAATTATAATGATAGAAAATAAAACATTAAGCAAATAAATTTTAAAAGCTTTATTAACAAAAAAAAATAACTATAAACAACATTAAACCATATATTATATTTAATTTTATTCATATGTAATTCATGGGTAGAAGTTATTCAAACGATTGAGATAATGCAGTTATAATAGATATATATTATCATACAATTCAAAATAATCAATATATTATATCAATTTAGTATACGAATTATTATATAAAATTTAACAACAATATTATTGTTATGTTTAAATAAAACATATGTTTGTAAAGACTTCAACAATATAGGTGTTTTTGCGCAACGTGCGGACATTCGCCGTGTGTGTGTGTGTGTGTATATATATATATATATATATATATATATATATATATATATATATATATTTATCACATGTCATTCTTTCATGCACTATATCACATGTCATTTTGTCATAATATTAAGATAGTTATTTTTCACATATCATTTTAAATTTTTTAATATATCATTAATTTAGTTTCCATAAATTAAACATACCATAATAATTATATTAATTTCAAATTTCAAACTTCAATTTCGGTTTTAAATAAATTTATAGTTTAAACCTTTGTATTTAGTATTTTGTTATAATTAATACGTTTAATACATGTGCCTGACAACTAAACAAATGATTTTAATTTTTTTGCATTTTTTTTCATAATGTTCACTTATTTCAAGTTTCAAATTCAAATAAACTTTCCGTAACATTTTGTTTTAATCGACCCGTATAATATACGAATGTCACAACTAGTGTGTGTGTGTGTATATATATATATATAACTAATTAAAAAAATAAAAATAATTTTATAAGAAACCTATACAAAATCTATTAAAATAAAGAACAGATAAAATTGTTATATAATAATAATAATAATAATAATAATAATAAATTGTTAAAAGAAAATGAAAAAGAAAAAGAAAGTATAAACTAGTCTTTTTATATGATGCAATGACCAAAACTTAAATATTTATAAACTACTGGGATGCAAGCTATTAATTTTTAAACTTAAAGACCAAAACTACAAATCTGACCAAAGCACTGTATCACTAAAAATAACTAGTTCATCATCATTATTTTGAAGTTATAACATTTACATTATCTTTTTTTATAAACAAATACACCTTAAAATAAATACATATTTAAATCATATAATCAACTTTACCTATGGATTGAAATTTTAACTTTGTTGTTATTTTCACGTTACACACATTTTTTATAATCATTACATCTCAATGGTTAAATGATTAAAAAAGTATTTGTTTGAAAAATATATATATAAAAAATTAGATTTCGGTCACCTTTTTTTCTTAATATAGAATTTTGATTTATGTTTTTATATTTAATATTATTATATTTAATAAGCTTGAATGAACATATAATTTAATTAAAAAATTAGTTTTGTTGACCATTTTTAGTTCATCATTCTTCTTTTTTCAAATATCAATAATCATTTTCAAAGTAACTTTTGTCATTTTGACAAACAAAAATTAAAAAAAAAATTATGCTAGTTGTTTATTTATTATTATTATTATTATATTTTTTTAATAAAAAAAAACTACTTAAACGAGTTTTTTCATGCGTTTTAATTGTTTTTCTAAATATACCATTAATTATGCCATTTAATATATATTCTAGCTAGCTTATTAGCTAGTTTTTTATCAAACATTATTTTTATTGGTTAGTACACTAAACATAATCTTAATATGATTTTTTTTAATTTATTTTATTCATAACTAATATTGTTTTTAATTATAAAAATGTGGTTTTTTGAAATATTATAATTATTACATCTATTGATTAGGGATGTCAACGAGACCAAATGGGAACGAAAATAGCTGCCACCGGTCCTGCCCCTGGTTACCTCAATCGCTCCCGATCCCGCCCCAGTTCCCCCGGTTTATAGGCTTAAAATTCATTTTTTTTTTGTTAAACAACTACTTTGGTTTAGGCTAAAAAGATTCAACATTACGAAGCTTAAAACCTAATCTTTTAGAAATTAAAAAATAAAAAATTCAACATTACGAATCCAACATTACAAAATGACAATTCTAACAATCTTATAAATATAAAATACGATAAATCCAATATTTCAAATATAAAATACTTACATGTAGAAAAAAAATAAACATGTAGAAAAAGCTATATAAAATAGTAATTTTGTAAAAACAATTTGTAAAAAAAAAAATAAACATGTAGAAGAAGCTATAAAAAATACTTTTTGTAAAATAATATCAAGGTTGTAAAAAACGCTCGAGTTAGCTAGTTGGTGGACTAGGGTCAAGGGATTAATCGGATAGACGGAGATTTATCGGAGGATTAATCGGGGACCATTAATTGCTAATTTGTTGAATTTTAACAAATTAAATATGACTAATATCATATTAAAGTTCGTAAAATACCACTAATATGATAACAAAATAGGTTAATATGATTAATAGAACACTAATCATGTCTCAAATAGTTTCTATTGAATTAAAATTTATTCTAAATGTTAAAATTTCATATTTTTATAATGTTTCACTCATTAAGTATGTATTATTTAATCGCTAGGCGCCCTCTAATCGGTTGAGTAGCGCCTAGGGATTAATCGGAGATTAATCGGGACCTAATCGAGATTTTTACAACAGTGTAAAATATATAAAATGAAATAAAAAAAAATAATTTATGAAAACAAAGAAGTTTTAAAAAACATACATAAAATACAGATAATAAAGTATTTGTAAAAAACTACTTTTTATATAAATGAGTTTCTATAAAACAAAGTTGTAACAAAATAGATTTTTAAATAAAGACTTTTTTTAATAAAAATATATAAAAAGAAAATTGTAAAAAAATTAAAAAAGAAAAAGTTTTGACCAAATAGATATTAAAAAGGAAATATAAGAAACCAATTTTATAATAAAAGGTAAAAAGATGGGTTAAATCCCTAAAAATCAAAAGTTAAAGGTAAAATGGCTTAACATAAATGGAAATGTTTTTTTTATTTATTTATTATTATTATTATTATTATTATTATTTAATATTTTAATTTAGAGATTTTAAGTTTGGAAAGAGGTTATATAAAAGAACCGTTGGAATGGAAGTCGAAAGGATCGAGTCGGTGAAATTGGCGCTTAATATAAAAGAATCTTTTCTTCTTCCCTCTTCCACTCTTCACTCATTCCGCTCGCTGCTCTCCAAACACCGCCGGAGATTCATCCCGCCCGAACTCCGTGAGTCCACTCTCCTGAGATCCTCGCACCCCAGTCCTTCGCAGCACACTCACAATCATGTCTATTATCCAACGAAATTATCAAGATCATTGTAAGTTTTCCTTCTTATTATTTTCCCTTCTCGTGCTTATTTTTAGTTCTCTAGGGTTTTTTTTCTCCAATTTCGAGTTGAAATTTCTTCCGTATATATCATGTATATGGACAAGAAAAGATCGACGTTTAGTTGCTGCTTTTTTTAACTCTTTTTTCTTTTCTGAGTGGCGAGTTTTTTTCTGTAAAATATGACATCCTAAGTGCTCAAGTTCTATTCTAACATAAAATCATAATGAAAATACATAGTATTTCTGTAGTTTTATCTATCTTTTTTAGGGTTTTATTCTCTATCTTTTTATTAGGTTTTTTGTTTTTTCTGTAAAATCTTCATTAAGCTTGTCTGGTAGGCTTATTTCAGAATGTGTTTCTGTGGTTTTTATGATTATTTGATAATGTCTTGTGTTTGGATGATTTTTTGTTGGTTGTTTGAGAATGTATTTCAAATCTCTTTTTATGAGTGTGTGATCATGGAATACTTCATCTGCTAATGTTTATTCTGTTTCCTATTATGGATGTGCCCCTGTAAGATCGTCAAAAACCCAAAGAAACATTAATACTAGAAGCTATCTAAGCCCTAAGAGCCTAAGATTTGTAACATACCAAATGTTTAACCTTTATCTGTTGCCTGGGAAATCAGTTGAAGCCTAAAATTCAAATTTGAACTAGGAACTTGGTTGGGTTGAGATGATTATGTTGGGTGCTTAACCTATAAGTACCAAATGAAGTTCAGAAAATGCTCCATTGAAAAGGATGCTAAAGCAGCGTTTGCTAACTCTGTTTCAGAAGTTACACAGGTGGACTGAACTTACCTAATTTTCCTTTTTTATACAATTTATCTTTCTAATATTTGTCAAATGTACAGATACCCGAGATTCTTTAGGTGTCAAAGCAGATTAAGGAGAAGCTGAAAGAAGTTGATCAAAATGGTAAATTCTTCTGGTAGCAATTAACAACTTTAAACATTACAAAATGCAGCTTAATAATTTTAACTAGACAACAGTACAATTCCTTTATTATATTTGGCATGCCATAAAATGTTACATATATTAAAATGGAACAAATGCCATAGGAACCAGATACATTTTGTTTTGTTGTTGTAAAGTGCAATTTAAATAATGGATTTGATATTTAGCATGTCCAACTGATTTTGGAAAAAGAACTTATATCAGATTGTGTATTGTACCTTATATAAGGCACATGTCCCCTTATTCTTTTTCATCAAGTGTTGCACTAATAAAGTGTTGAATTTTATCTATGATTGACTTGATAGAAAATGCTTTCCTTTAGTAAAGTCTTTTAATCTTTTTTTATGTTAAAATTCACTTAGATTAAAAGTTATTGATGTGAAATGCATAAATCTAATGGCTTTCCTGGTCAACATTTATCTGTTTACTCAACAAAGAAGATGTGGATGAGGTTCTTTCTGGAAAAAACAATTTTATTTTAAACATTAAAGTTATTTAATAGTATAACTATCTATAAATATTAACTCTTAAACTTTTCTCAGTTACAACAGTTAAAGGTTTACTCAACAAATACTTAATTCTTAATCAATATGTTATTTTTCTTTTCTACGTTTTCTATTTATTTGGTTCATGGATTCCATAGAAATTTGAAAGAATGGGAATGGCAGATCCCTTCAGTTGCAAATTTGGTTAACAAAATAGATTCCATCAAATTCCCTCAAAATCTGTATTCAAAGGATTTTATCATTCCTAGGGAAGATTTGAATTTCCATTATTTATTTCTTTATTAAAAAGATTAATTACTTTTTGATTAATTATTTATTTTTACAGGACTACAGGTAGCAATAGCTATGAGTCTATGACCCTGTTTGTGTATTTCCATAAATACCCCTCTGTTCCTAAAACTTGTGCTTATTTATTATCTTCAAGAAATGTTGGGATAAGCATACTTCATTTTGAATCAATAAAAAAGAAAGATGTTGAATATTGCATGGAAAACGCCTTCAGCACTTATTTAGTATGCCTGGTAATTTTTTACACAAGATATTTTGTTATTTAGTCAGATGTTTTATTTATATAAAAAGTTTAATTTTTTTTTTTTATGTAGTGAATTGGGAAAACATAGAAGGGAAATGCCACAATGTGTGGTCTTTGGTGGGTTGAACTTGAAATGTATAAAACAAGTGGTCAATACAAAGAGGTAGTAATCATTTCTATTTTTTGAATAAAAATGTTGCATATGAGATTAATCAGATGTTTGATATCACCCGAGTTGGTTAAGATAACAGCTAGCTTCAAAATCTATGTTAATTTTTTAAGGAAAATTGTGAGAAATAACAATGTAGTTTTACCGATTTGTACAAAATACTTTATTTTTTACTCATAATGGCAACGTATTTATAGATTTTCTTCCATAAACATCAATCTTTAACCATACATGTTATTTTATTGATTATTTTGGTTGATGGCAAGGGTATTTCAAGAAGAACATTTGAAATCTTTAACTTGATGAATTTTAGAACACATATGCCAAAGTGCAATTGTGTTGTTCAATGCTTATGTATGGTATGATAGATTTTTTTACATGTATAGCATATTTTGATGTTTGTTTTCTGATTTTCTTACTTGTTACACCAATTTCCTGATGCTCTTCAGGATTAGGTCACTTAATCGAAACTAAAGCATCCATCAGATGAAGATGACTGGTTTTGAAAAGCCAAAAAAGTTTTGTTTAGTTGCTTTGTTTTCAGGGTGAAACATGTTGTATTGAATTAGGTAGAGAGAAGTACATAATCACAAGCCAAATTAAAAGATTAAACAATTTATTGAGCTATTAAAGATTCAATTAGGGAAAGATTAAACAATTTATTGTTTGTATTTTTTACTCAATTAGAAAGAAATAGAAGTGTATTTTGTTTCTGTTTAGTTAAGTTAGGATGAATTTATTGTGTACAGGTCAAATAACAATCTAATTTCTAGCTAATTTAGCCATGTAGTCAAGTGTTAGTTTTTTCTAAGTTTTTTTTTTTTTTTTTTCATTCAAATAGGTGACAGAGGAAAGGCTAAAAGAGGTTATCTGTAAGTTTTTCACTTTAATGTTTATTATTTGTTTTAAAATAAAAATATTTTTTTAGTAAATAGCATTTCTACTATTTTATTAGAAAAGATCACTAAAGGATGTTTTGGTCCTTTAACATAATTTTCACTTTTTACTTCAATTCTTTTGATAGATTTGCAAAAATAAACACAAAACAACAAATGAATGGAATCTAGTCCTTTCCATTTCCTGTCAACCATGCACATGATAGATTCCAATTCCTTTGACAAATTCCATTCATTTTAAAAATATTCTGTGCACCACAAGTTCCCTTTACTTGCTATTAATCTTAATTCCAATTCCTTTGACAGATTCCACTCATTACACTGCAACAAGAAAACGTTTTAGAAACCAAATAAAGTACTTATGTTACGGTGGAAAAAGAAAAGAAAAGAAGAGTCACCCGAGAATCAAGGTGTATGTTTTTACCCTTAACACTATAAAAACAATTGATGATTTATATGTTATTTAGTTTTTCTGTTGATGTTTAAAGGTACACTATTAGTTCCAATGAATCTCAAATAAGGATGTTGTATCATTTTCAGAACTTATTATTCAGGTACGTAAGTCTTTTTGTTGAATCACAATTTAGTGTTGGACTTAGCACTATCTCTGTCTTGTTATAATGATAAAAGACTTAAACATCTCCAATAACACGCGTTAATCAATCTTTCATGATTTCTGCCATTTTGATTACTGATTTAATGGTGCTAATAACTTAAAGTTAACAAAGAACTTTTTACTAAAACGAAACAAATCTTTCATGTTATTGTTTAAAGGTACACTTTTAGTTCCATTGAATCTTAAATAAGGGTGTTGGTGGATTTTTCTTCATGGAAATGATATGCAGTGTACAGGTAGCTATAACTGAGTCTATGACCCTGTTTTTGTTTTTTCCAGAAATACCCCTCTATCCCAGAAACTTGTGCTTATTTATTATCTTCAGGAAATGATGGGATTAAAAAAGATGTTGAAAAAAGGTGTACTTTTTATTTAGGCAATCGGGACATCAGAGAATGGAAATGCCACATGGTGTGGTCTTTGGTTGTTTGAAATGTTAAAAACAAGTAGTCAAAATTCCTCTTTTTTGTATCTATGTGATTCGTGCATACAGAAATGTGCTTTTTATTTTTAAAGAAACAACATGGAGTCGGAAATATATTTGGGGATTGTGTCTATTTTCATGTAGGACAGTAAGTTAGATTGGTTGAAATTACGTTATTACCCTCTTTGGACTCATGTGGTATGTTTTTCTTTTTTGGAAGGTTTGATGTGGCAAAGAAGCACAACATCCAGCTAAAGGAGTTGATGAATGCGTACTCTGATAATTCTCCTGATGAGGTAATTTTTTTTTCATTATTTAACAAATATAAGTACTTTTTGAAAAATGAAAAGGTTATGGGATGTGTGTAGACTTGAATAATATTCCAAGGTTCAATGATTTATTAAACATAACCAATTTCCTGGCGTTCTTCAGGATTCCATAGAATTTTATCATTCCTTGGGAAGATTCGAAGTTCCATTCTTCATTAAAAAGACTAAATTTATGCTTACAACCCAAATATCATCATGTGGAAGCTTGCGCCTTCTTTATTCTCACCCTTAATTTATCTTAATATACAACTCTATTATTGTATTATTACTTATTTATTTATTCAGTAATTAGCAAGTTCGATTTTATTTTATTAAAAAAAGTCACTAAAGGGTGTTTCGGTCATTTAACATAATTTTCACTTCAATTCTTTTGATAGATTTGCAAACCAAACTCAAAACAACAAATGAATGGAATCAAATCCTTTCCATTTCCTGTCAAACCATGACATGGCAGATTCCCATTCCTTTGACAAATTCCATTAATTTTAAAAATATTCTGTGAACCACAAGTTCCTTTACATTAGTATGATGGTAATTGCTATTTTTGTTTTTTTTTTTTCTATTTTTTTTTTAATTATTTTTAAATTCCAATTGGTTTGACAGATTCCATAAATTACTCTGCAACAAGAAAAGGTTTTAGAAACCAAATAAACAACTTATGTTATGGTGGAAAAAAAAAAAAAGATGCTCCCAAGAATCAAGGTGTATGTTTTTGCCCTTAACACTATAAAAACACTGGATGATTTTTTTGTTCTTATTTAGTTTTACTGTTGATGTTTAAAGGTACACTTTTAGTCCCCCCATTATACTTATCAAAGTGTTAAACCATCTATATTTTTGCTTTAAATTTTATAAACTACAGGTAATGCCCAATCTTACAGGTTCAGTTGCTGATGGAAGAGATGACATTATTAGCTTATTTGTATCACACATTTTCAGAACTTATCATTCAGGTATTTCAAGTCTTTTTGTTGATCCACATTTTAGTGTTGGACGTTTCACTATCTCTGTCTTGTTATCATGATAACAGACTTAAACATCTCCAATAACACGAGTCAATCAATCGTTCATGATTTCTGCCATTTTGATTACTGATTTAATGGTGCTAATAACTTAAAGGTAACAAACAATTTACAAAACTTTCTTCAATACTTTAAGGAATATAATCTGTGTGATATTATCTTAAAGTGTAAGTTATTTTTAGGGCTAATTGCACAAAATAACAACCTTCTTTCATTCGTTTGTGTTTTATAGCAGCATCCTAGTTTCATTTTTCTTTGTATTGTCTATTCAGCTTTTTCTTATTAAGACCTTGCACTTTGAAAATTTACCCAATTATAGCATTAGGTCCTTATACTTTTAGATGTCTACCCAATTATAGCATTGTATTTTCATATCTTTATCTTATTAGGGCTTTATTCTTTGAAAGCTCTACCCAATTTTAGCACTGTACTTCCAATTTTTTTTTTCTTATAATGATATTATACTTTGAATAATCTACCCATTTATAGCTATATAGCTTGTTATTAATGAGAACAATTTTCTGATTTCCTTTGTCTCTAACTGTGGTTTTGTTGATCATTTGATAATGTTTTGTGTGTTTGGATGGGTTTTGTTGGTTGTTTGAGAATGTATTTTCAGATTCTGTCAGCATTCTGTACTTTAACATTTACCAAATGTATTGTTGGCAACTGTTCCTAAGGTCAAATCAGAACAATACTTATTGTTCATCTCTTTAACACATCCATGTATCACATTTCTTATTTATTCTTTTTAATCACTTTCTTTCAAGGCTTTGTGCATTCTCACCATGTTTGGCTGTTCGTTTTCTAGCGTTTCCAGCAAGCATATCAGAAAGGGTCTGTCTTTTTCTACAATGATGAAAAAATCTGCAAAAAATTAAGTGAGTAACATAACCCTAAAATTTTTGACTTTCTTGATTTCAAAATCAGTTAGTATTTTGTCAAAGCATAAAATTTGAAAAAACCCATGTTAGATTTCATGTGTAGTATTTTGCAGAGTTTGTAGTACATTTTATCACCAGATATCTACATTGATGCACTTAACTTCAAAATAATTTGAAGTTAAGTAGGGTTCATTCTGTTTCAAAAGCAACTAAGGTGAAAAACAACAACACACAAATTTATGTTCTTTAAATCTTCTTCATTCCATTTGTTTATACTTTTTGATCATCTTCAGTCTTATTGTTTCCAAAGGGGGACATTTCCATCAGCTGTATATATAGCTTCCTCATATTTTTGTAGCTACAAGCTGTGATCAAAGTTTTATTCTTTTTAGGGAAGTAACCACCAATCATCACCCTTTTCTTTTTGTCCACCAATACCAAATGATGTTTTTTTGCTACAATATGTTATACAACTGGGACACCAACGGTTTCTATTTCTTATTTACCTAAGCCTTTTCCTTTTTTTTTCATCTACCAAAGTTGAATCTTTCTTTCCACTTATGCCTTTATGATAATGATTTTATTGTAATTAATCACATCAAGACAAAACTGTTGTTTCATTCTTGTAGGACAACTTGAAACTGTTGGATGACATGGCGGAATGGAGACTTGCAGTTTTCCATGATTATATGATGGGAAGCATTACTTAAAGGTAACTATTTACAAAAGTTTCTTCGGCAAAAGGGGGTCCTTTTTGCTTTTCATACTTTATATAGAATATAATCTGTCTGATATTATCTTTCAGGAAAGAATGCCTGTTTTGTATAGTATGTTCTATTATATTGTTCTATTGTAGTGGTAAGATATACTTCTTTTCCTCATAAAAAAGGATTATGCTAAAGCAGCAATTGCTATCTCTATATCACAAGTTACAAAGCTGGATTGAACTTACCTAATTTTCCCTTTTCATGCATGCTCATATCAGTTTATCTTTCTAATATTCTGATTTCTTAAAGGTGCAGATTAAGGAGAAGCAGAAAGAAGTTAATCGAAATGGTAAATTCTTTTGGTAGCAATTTACAGTTGTTTTAAACACTACAAAATGCAGCTTCATAATTTTAAGTAGACAATATTACAATTATTCCTTTATGGTATTTGGCATATGCCATAAAGTATTAAATATGTTATAAATTTTAACTAGATAGAAGTGTACCATTTTCATCCTTTTTCTTATTAGGGCATTCATTATGCTTTGAAAAGTCTACCCAATTATAGATAGCATTCTACTTCCAATTTTATTTGTCTTGTTCTTATTGTGACATTATACTTTGAATAATCTACCCATTTATACCATCACACTTTAAATTTTTTATTTTATTTTTCTAAAAAAATCACCTAATTAAGCAGTGAAAATGCTTATGGCATTGCTAAAACTGGGTTTAATGCTTTCCCAGGTCAGCATTTTGGCCGCTTACTCAACACAGAGGATGTGGATGAGGTTCATTCTGAAAAAATAAACAATTTTATTTCAGTAAATAGCAATCCTATTAATTTATATAAAGAAAATGACTAAAGGGTGTATTGGTCATAATTTTCATTTTAATTTTTTTGATAGATTTGCAAACTAAATAAAAAACAACAAATGCATGGAATCTAAATCCTTTTCATTTGCTGTCAACCATAAACATGATGGATTCCAATTCCTTTGACAAATTCCATTCATTACTCTGCAACAAGAAAAGGTTTAAGAAACCGAATAAAGAACTTATATGGTGGAGAAAAAGAAAAGAAGTTACCCTTGAGAATCAAAGTGTAAGTTTTTACCCTTAACACTATAAAGCCCTTCATGCCTTATTTGTTTTTATTTAGTTTATTTTTTTTTTGTTATTGTTAAAAGGTACACTTTTAGTTCCATTGAATCTCAAAGAAGGTTGTTGGGTGATTTGCCTTCATGGAAAAGATATGCAGGTGTAAATGTAGCTATAGCTATGAGCCTGTGACCCTGTTTGTGTTTTTCCAGAAATATCCCTCTGTTCCTAAAACTTGTGCTTATTTATTATCTTCAGGAAATGATGGGATGAACATACTTCATGTTGAATTAAACAAACAAAAGATGTTGAATATTGCTTGAAAAACATCTTCAACACTTATTTAGTACGCCTGGTAATTCCTTACAAAAGATGTTTGTTATTTATTCAGTTTATTTATTTATTTAAAACGTGTGCTTTAAATAAAAGCAAGTGGTCAATATAAAGAGGTAATAATCAGTTCACTTTTGTAAAAAAATATATTGTATATGAGAATTTTTTTAAAAGAACCAACCTCAAATAAGGAACAACATGGAGCATGTCTTGTTTTGGAACAGGGACCGGAAATGTTACCAGAACCTCAAATAAGGACCCAAATTCATAAATTAGCTATGATCAGGGACCAAAAGTGTATTATAGTCTTGTTTCTAGGTTTGTGTGCTTTATATCCTATTTCATATATGACAGTAAGTTAGTTGTAAATGAGTTATTAAAGTTTGATGTAATATGTCAAATTGGTTGAAATTACGTTATTACCCTCTTCGTACCCAAGTGGTTTGCTTTTCTTAGAATGAAACATATGTTGGAAATTGTGGCATTTGTAGTATGGAATGGATCACAACATCAAGCTAAAGAAGTTGATGAATTCCTACTCTGATAAAACTCCTGATGAGGTAATTTGTTTTTTATTGTTTAACAAAATATAAGCACTCTTTTTTCATTGTTTAATAGTCTCTTAGAAAATTAAAAGGTTATGGGTTGTGCAGGCTTTTTTTTAGTTACTATGATGTTTAAGGGACAATATCATTTTCCTTTTTGAAAATTGGAGAGCTGGGGTCTATGTATGAAGCTCCATTGGTTTAAATTTAGTCATGTAATGCTTCTGTTTTCAATTTCAGATTAAAAACATTAAACTTTTTTTTTTTTTTTTTTTTTTTTTTTGAATAATGGCAACAAGAGAGGCAGAGATGATGGATATCACCCAAAATGGTTATGATAACAGCAAGCCTTAAAACTTATGTTAACTTTTTAAAGAAAATTATGGGAAATTACAGCGTAGATTTGTATAATGTAATCACTATAATCGGTAATATAACTATCTGTAAGGGATCAAGGTAATAATATATCTATCTGTAATTGTGTAATGGAATCACTATAATGGTAAAATGGTAAATGATTTAGTGTTTTTATGGATTTCACCATTATATTATTTACCTATAGTGCGTAGATTTGTATAATTTTCAAATCAAAACTAAAGCATCCATCAGAGTAGATAATCAGTCAAGCAAGTGTTGTGATGTGTTGTTAGTAAAAATTTAATTGTTTTGAAAACCCCAAAAAAATATTGTTTAGCTGTAGATTGTTCTTCATTGCACTTTAGGTGTTTGATGAACTACTGTATAATTTGCATATTTGAAACAGTTTTTGATTGTCACTACTACAAAAAAGAAATTGGACTTTTGTTTTTAATTTTTTACTGCAGGATTTTAGAGATTGAAATTTGATTTTTGGGGCATAAGGTCAAATGCTTAACATGGATACTTCCAAGAGATGTTGTGATTTTTTGTGGGCTTGTTTATGTCGTTGCCTCTCTTCCTAATATTCCCTTTTTATACATGCTCATATCAATTTATCTTTTCTAATATTTGTTAAATGTACAGATACCTGAGATTCTTTGGGTGTCAAAGCAGATTAAGGAGAAGCCGAAAGAAGTTGATCAAAATGGTAATTTCTTTTGGTAGCAATTAACAACTTTAAACACTACAAAATGCAGCTTTATAATTTTAACTAGACAACAGTACAATTCCTTTATGATATTTGGCATGACATAAAATATCACATATATTAAAATGGAACAAATGCCATAGGAACCGAATACATTTTTTTTTTCCATTGTTGCAGAGTGCAAAGGAAATAAGAATTTTATCAGATTGGTTCTTGAATCTTTACTTTAAGTCCTTGTTACAACATCTGATGGGTTCGATGTTTAGCATGTCCAACTGATTTTGGGAAAAAAAGCTTATATCAGATTGTTTTTTTTTTTTTCTTTCCATCAAGTGTTGCACTGATAAAGTGCTACCTCGATAATGATGTGTTATATTTTATGAAGACTTAAATCTATTTTATACGTTAAATGTTCACTTAGTTTAAAAGTTATTGATATGAAAATCATATCTAAGTGATGCTTTCTTGTGCTTGGGTTTTGGAGAGCATAGATCTTTGCTATGGAATGATGGAAGATGATATAGTAATCAGTGGTCTTTCTCTTACTTTTTTTGGAGGCCCTTTTGCCCTATGTGAATATGTAGGTGCTCTTCGGTATTTAAAATTCACATGCTGTTTTTTTCGCTAACTGAAATTTTTGGTTACAAAATGGAGATTATAAGTTATGACCCAAATAATAAGAAGCATAAGAAATATGTCGAAAAGTCCTAAGTCATTTAACTTTTACTTTATGAAAAGATGGAAACAAAATATAAGTACACACCCTGTTATCTGGTTTCACTTCATCAGCTGAAGAGGCTAAATAATGTCTTTTTTATTTAAAACATACTTAGTTATATTAGCTATTCATATTTGATGAAAGTTAATTACAATCATGTCATGTTTATTTAGAGGGTTTCTTATAAAACGCTCGCTCAAAAAAATGTTTAAGTGATTGAAATATTTTTATGTGGAATTGAAATCCTTTCCATTTTCTGTCAACCATACACATGATGGATTTCAATTCCTTTGACAAATTCCATTCCTTACCCTGCAACAAGAAAAGGTTTTAGAAACCAAATAAAGAAATTATATGGTGGAGAAAAAGAAAAGAAGATACCCTTGAGAATCAAGGTGTATGTTTTTCGCCTTATACTCTAAAGCCCTTCTTGCTTTTTATGTTCTTATTTAGTTTGCATGTTATTGTTTAAAGGTACACTTTTACTTCCATTGAATCTCAAATAAGGGTTTTGGGTGATTTGTCTTCATGGAAATGATATGCAGGTGTACAGGTAGCTATGAGTCTATGACCCTGTTTGTGTTTTTCCAGAAATACCCCTCTTTTTCTAAAACTTGTGCTTATTTATTATCTTCAGGAAATGATGGGATAAACATACTTCATGTTGAACAAATAAAAAAAAAGATGATTGGTCAAGCAAGTGGTGATGTGTTTTAGTAAAAGTTTAATAGTTTTGAAAACCCAAAAAAGTTTTTTTTAATTGTAGATTGTTCTTCTGTGCACTTTAGGTGTTTGATGAAATGTCTTGTTTAAGTTAAAGAGTTGTTTTGCTTTGTTTTGAGGGTGAAAATGTTATTGGATTGAATTAGGTAGAGAGAAGTACATAATTACGTGCCAAATTAAAATATTAAACAACTTATTGAGCTATTAGAGATTCAACTAGGGAAAGATAATTTATTGTTTGTAGATTTAACTCGATTAGAAATAGACCTGTATTTTGGTTCTAACTAAAAGTTGCTTATAAAGTTGTGTGTTTTTGTTTAATTAAGATAGGATAAATTTGGTGTGTTTGTCAACCAACTACTGTATAATTTGTATATCTGAAAGAGTTTTTTAATTGTCAATGCTACAAAAATATGTGGACTTGTGTTTGTAATTTTCTTTCTGCAGGATTTTAGAGATTGAAATTTGATTTTTGGGGCATAAGTTCATCAAATGCTTAAATCTCAATCAAATGAGTTGTGGTGATTATTTGTGGGCTTGTTTATGTCATCACCTCCTATTTCCTAGAATTCAAGATTAAAGAACACAAGTTCTTTGTTAGGTCAAAACAGTGTATCCTGTTTTTTTGTATGTGTTTCTGAATCACATTGTGTGATATGTAGATGATTCGAAAAAGATGAAGCTTTGTTGCATTTAGCCCCAAAAGAATGTTTACAGCTTGTTGTAGTCCACTAATTCAAGTTCAAATTGCATCAGTTGTTCTATACAACCAAATGTTGAGGTATAAATTAATCTATCTGTTTACATGTTCACAACATTCATCACATGTTACAACGCTGATGTATAAGTTTATCTGTTTAGTGTTCGTTGTTTGATTTAAAACTCTGAGAAATGTTTTTTTCATTCAAGTAGGTGACAAAGGAGTGGTTATTACTGATGCATAGATCCATCATCCATCACCTATAGAAACTATACCCATGTGTAAGTTTTTTTTACCTAAATATATTGCGTGAAAGTTATACACAGTTGTAAGAGTTTAAATTTTATCATTTTAAAATGATTTTGTCTCAACATGATTCTTTTATTTTGTTTTACAACCATAGCCCTTTTTGTCCACCAAAACTAGATGATGTTATTACAAAGGTTTCTATATCTTATTCACTTATTTATTTATTTTTTTTCTTTTCAAGTCTACCAAAACTGAATCTTTTCTTATCTTAAGTGGAAATTGTTCCTTTGTTACATGGTTTTTCTGTAGTTTTGTTGATCGTTTCATTGGGTATTTCTTTTCTATCTTTTCATTGGTTTTTTTCTCTTTCTTAAATGTGATTTTGACAATGTCTGGAAGGCTTTTTTCAGAATGTGTTTCTTTAATTTTGTTGATCATTTATTAATGTTTTGCTTGTTTGGATGGGTTTTGAGAATGTGTTTCAGATTCTAACATTTAACAAATCAGACCAATACTTGTTTTTCTTCTCTTTAACATATTCACTGTGCTGTGAGGTTCGTTATTATCATGGAATGATGAAAAAATCTTCAAAATTTTCACTTCAGTTATTTGAACCACAAGTGCGCTTACATTAGTATGACATTAATTGCTATTCCAAGTTCCAATTCCTTTAACAGATTCCATTCATTACTCTGAAACAAGAAAATATTTTAGAAACGAAATAACCAACTTATGGTGGAGAAAAGGAAAAGAAGATGCCCCTGAGAATCAAAGTGTATGTTTTTACCCTTAACACTATCCACTGATTACAAGCTGACAAAGCATGGAAACGATATGCAGGTGTACAATTAGCTATAGCTATGAGTGTATGACCCTGTTTGTGTATTTCCAGAAATACCCCTCTGTTACTAAAACCCGTGTCTATTCATTTTCTTGATGGGATTAACATACTTGATGTTGAATCAATCAAAAAAAGATGTTGAATATTTGGAAACACCCTCAGCGCTTATCTGTACGACTTGTAATTCTTTACAAAAAGATATTTGTTATTTAGTCAATTCTTTTATTTATTTAAAATAAAAAATGTGCTTTTATTTAGGGAATTGGGACATCAGGGAAGGAAAAGGTTAAAAAGAGGGGCTGAAATGTTAAAAGCAAGTGGTCAATATAAAGAGGGGATGGTGTTTACTTTTGTTTCTCTGGTGAGGTAATAATCATTTCTTATCTGTCAATGAAAATATTTATCTATATATGAAAATCTTGCTAACAAACAACAAGCATCTTTATGTTACCTTTTAGCCAAACCAATTATGTTAAGAAAGTATGGTTTATAGCTGATTTTTTCAGTTTTGGTCCTCCATGAAAAGATTCTCTATTTTTTTTTTTGAAAATTTGGTACTCATTTCATGGTTTCATATCGTTTTTGGTACCCGAGCCTTTTGCATCTCTTTCATTTCCATGTTCAAGCCCCAATAAAAGTCATCACTTTCCTTAAAAAAGTTGCGTCTGATATCTGATTGATATGTTTAAAATTTTTTTGCTTTTTATTAAGTCATTTTT